ATTTCAAGAGATTGATGAAATGTAATTCCTAACTCTCAGCAGAGAGGTAATGGATTAGAAGTTCAAATGAGACATTCATTCTGAGACATGACCAATGTGTTGTTTGACTATAACTGTTACAAGAGAGGGCTTCTACCTGGAGGGGAAGAATTGGGTAAATGATAAATATGAGGGAAAAAAGCATGGAAAAAAAATTTATGCACATTAGAAAGCAAGACTACAGAAGGAGACACAATTAGTACAATTTTGTTATTACTTTATCAAAGTTAATATATTTTTTAAAAGTCTAACAGTTCAGTTTTTTTGTACAATTTTTTTTGTATACTGAAAAGTTTGTGTTTGTTAAGTTCACAAGTGCCCAAGTAGAAAGTAAAAGATAAGTATGCAGCTTACTACAGTAAAAAGCAGAAAAGTATTTCCTCCACAATGTCTCAAACACTTCTACAATCCTGTGAGTCTGTGCCCTGGAAGAACTTCCACCCTGGAATGTGCCTTCCCTTCCTCCTCCAATGAGTGAGAAGATAGGTAGATTTGAGAATCATCAGCATAGAGATGATAATTAAATCCATGGGAACTCATGAGATCATCAAGTGAAGTAGTATAGAGGAAAAGAGGGCTCAGGACAGAACCCTGAGAAAGAAGCAGTCAGATAGGAAGAGAACTAGGAGAGAGTGGTGCCCTAAAAACCTAGAGGGAAGAGTACCAGGGAGGAAAGGGTGATCAACAGTGTCTAAGGCTGCAGAAAGGTCAACGAAGAGTTAAGGACTGAGAAAAAACCATTGGATCTGGATGAAATTCTAGCTCTTCCTGTGGGGTGTGTGATTCCAAGCTAATCACTGAGTCCCTGAGCCTTAATTTCTCCACCAGTAAGACATGGATTCTGGACCAAACCTTTATCACTATTTATATCCTATAGATTGGGAAGACCAGTTAGGAGGGTCTGACCCATCCTGACAATTACAGAAACAGAAAGGAAGAAGCTGATGCAGGAGCAATCACTGAGGCCAAAGCACAAAGGTATGGAGAGGAGAAGATTCATATCTGACATTTAAGTTTCCCCCACTAGAGAAAGGTGGTTCTATGAACAGAAATAGAAGAGTATTAGGAGTTGGGGAGTGATTGGAACTGTAGCTTAAGAGACAGGAGGGAGCTACAGAAGGAGATAGATGGAATCATATATAAAGCTAATGGGTAAAGCCAATGGAATAAGATGACATCAAATCAATCTGAGGACAGAACCTTGCAGAAAGTCTACATTTTGATGGTGGAAATACATCCAAATCAAAAAGGCTGAGTCTGATCCATCCTATTTCCTCAATATATTTTACATCGATCTCCTTTCTATTTATACTACAGCCACCCTTGTGATCTTCTCATCACTTGCCTGGACAATTACAATATTATCCTACTTCATCCCCTGCACCTAGTCTCTCATCTTTCTAAGCCATCCTGCCCACAGATGTCAAAGTGATATTCTTAAAGCACAAGTCACTTCCCTGCTCAAGAAACTTCATTACCTCTGGGATAAAATTCAGTATTCTGTTTGGTATTTGAAGCCCTTCACAATCTGGCTCCAGCCTATCTTTCTGGCTGATAACCCATTATGCATTCTATATTCCAGTCAAACAGGCCTACATGTGGTTGCTCATACACAAATTCCCTTCCATCTCCATCTCTGCATATTAAAACCCCCTACCTCTTTTCAACGTTTAGAAGCTCAAGGGACACCTCCTACACAAAACCATCCCTAATTCCCCCAGTTAATGCTTTCCCTCACCACCACCACACCCTGCTCTCGGAAATCACTTTTTATTATCTTCTCTCTGTATGTGATTTCCCCCCAGCATAAAGTTTCATTTTTGACTTTGTGTCCCTAGCAGAGTGCCTGGTCCATAATAGACTGGCAGGTGACAGCTAGGTGGCGCAGTGGATACAGCACTAGAGTCAGGAGGACCTGAATTCAAATCCAGCCTCAGACACATAATACTTATAGCTGTGTGACCTTGGGCAAGTCACTTAACCCCATTGCCTGGCCAAAAAAACCAACCAACCAAACAAACAAAAAAACAACCCAAAGCAGACTGGCAAATGGGGCAGGGGGAATTGTGGCAGCAACAGGAAATTAAGAGAGATAGCACAACCAGGATAGTACAGTATTATAGAAGTCAAGGAAGAACCAAGTGTCAAGAAAGTAATCAGCAATTTCAGAAGCCAAAGGGATATCAGGAGGAGGACTGAAAAAAGGCCAATGGAAATGGTGATTATGGGGTCATGTTAACCTGTGAGAGGAAAATTTTAGTACAATAATGGAGTTGGTCTATCTTTCATACCTATCTTCTTTTCATCACTTATACTGTTTTTGGTTCAGATCCTTCTTTCTAGGCTATTCTAACAGTTTCCTGTAAGTTTTCCCTGACTTTCTCCTCTCCAATTCATCCTTTTCACTCAACAACCAAAATAATCTTCATAATACATTACTAGATGGCCCATGCCATTTCCCTTCTCAAAAACCTTCACTGCTATTGTGCTGTAAGAAATGACAAGCAAGCAGATTTCAGAAAAACCTGGAAAGACTTGTATGGACAGATGCTGAGTGAAGTGAGCAGAAGCAGGAAAATGTTGCACACAGTAACAGCCATGTTGTGTGATGACTGCCTTTGATAGACTTAGCTCTTCTCAGCAATGTAAGGATCTAAGACATCTCCAGCTATCCACATCCAGAGAAAAACTATGGAGTTGGAATGCAGATCAGAGCATACTATTTGCTCTTTTTTTTCTCTTCTGTTTTGTTTCTTCTTTCTTGTGGTTCCTCCTTTGGGTTCTAATTCTTCTTTACAACATGACTAATGTGAAAATGTTTAATAGGAATGTATATGTAGAGCCTATATCAGATTGCATGCCGTCTTGGGGAAGGAGGGGGAGAAAATTTAAAACTCAAAAGCTTATGGAAGTGAATGCTGAAAACTAAAATAAATTAATTAAAAAAAAAAACCTTCAGTAGCTTCCTATTATCTATGTGAAATAGAAGCTCCTTCGTCCAGCATTTAAGATCCTCTACAATATGGCTACAATCTACATTTTCAGTCTTATTTTGTTTTAATCACCTTTGTACGTTCCACATTCTAACTACACTCCAACCAGTCTACAAGTTACCCATACCTAGATAACTTTAAACCTTCTGTTTCTGTTTGTGCCTGCAAAACACTCTCATCTCAAACCACTGAATTTTTTTTATACCTTCAACCTCCAGTTTAGTTAACATCTCCCCCATGATGTTTTTCAGGATCCCTAAGTTGATTTTCCCCTTTTCAAATTTCTTACAGAAGCTTATTTAGACCCTCCCTTTACTATTATTTCATTCTTACCTGGTATCATACTCATTTGCATGTATTTCTTCCATGAACTCAGAAAAGCTCTTTGGGGACAAGGACTCTTTTTCATCTTTATATTCCCAACACCTAGCGCAATACTTTGTACGTAGTAGAGTTAATGTTAAATGGAAAGACAGCTTGAAAAAGATTAAGAAATGAGAAATGGAAGTAGCTAATATATTCTCTCAAAAATTTTGGTGCTAAATGGAGAGGGGAACTTGAAAAACCAGTCAGTTGATAGGCTTTTTTCCCCTTAGAATAGGGGAAAAGGGGAAGGGAATAAGCATTTACGATGTGCCAAGCACTTTTTATAAAAACTATCTATTTGATCTTCACAACAACTCTGTTAGGTATTATTAGCCCCATTTTACAGAAGAGGAAACGGAGACAAATAAAGATTAAGTGATTTGCTCAGGGTCACCTAGTGTGATGAGTTGGTAAAATTTGAACTCAAGTCTTCCTGACTCCAGGCCAAGTCCTCTCTATTCTCTATTCGCTATCAGCTGCCTCTGACCATATTTGTAGGAAAGAAGATACTGGTAAAGATGAAAATTCAATTAGGGAGATTAACCAATAGAATGAGTTCATATGGGAGTTGGAAGAGTGGCAGAGTTAGCCATGTCAACTTCTTGCTCACAGATGGCCCTGAAAAGGTACTCTCCCTGGAGGCCCATGTTTCCCAAGAAGACAGGCCTTATAAAACTCACATTTGACATTATTTCATTCAGAAACTGCATGAACCTGGCTATAAGGTTCATGTAGAATGCAAATAACCACTGTATTTCAACGGGACTTTAGGGCTCTGGGTCCTGACAATATAAATTATCAAGGACAAAAAGGTAAGTTAACTTAAATGACAAGATTAGTTTTTACGAAGACTGTAACAGTTGGGAGAACGTTGATGCTTCCTGACCTCAGGTTCCTGGGATCCCCCCCTCCTACCAACCTTTTTCTTAATTTACAAGCTGATGAAAAATGGAACATTAGATTGCAAGCTCCTCGGGGGTAGGGACATCTTTTGCCTCTTTGTAACCCCAGGTTTAGCACAGTGCCTGGCACACAGTAGGCGCTTAATAAACGTTTACATCCTAAGGGGGGTGGGAGTGGGGGTGGGGAAGTACCCGCAGCCCTCCATCTGGAAGCCCAGGGGAGCCTTTAAGCACAAACTATCCGAGAAGACCTGGTTACTTCGGAAACGCTTGGCTCTCAGGCCACGGGGCAGCGGACTCAAGGACCCTCCCCCCTCCCCCCAGCGCGCTCCTGGGGGCGGGGGAAGGGGGAAGGGGAGCAAGGTAAGCAAAGGTACTTTCCCTTCGCCCACCAGAGGCCAAGGGCCAGGCCATGGGCCTCGGACTTGGGCTCCTTCTCCCGCGGAATCCCACCAGGGCGCAGCCCGAGGCGGCGGGCGGCCTGGGGCCCCGACAGGGCCGAGGAGGGGGCGTCGGGGCCGAACGCAAGGTCACGGCCAGGCCGGGCCAGGGAAGCCGGGGAGGCCGGCCGGGAGAGGAGCCGGCCTGGTCGGCAGAGGCGCGCGCGCGTGGCGAAGGCCGCCTCGCGGGACGGGCCCGGAGGGCCGAGAGGCAGGGAATCGGGGGACGGAAGGCCAGGCCGGCGGTTGGGGCGCCTCACCAGGGCTCACGAGCGTACTCCTCCATCTTGGATGCGGCGGCGAGGGGGATGCCGGGCAAAGGGGGCGGAGCTCCAGCTCCCTCAATGTGCCAGTGACCTCTGTCCCTGGAGAGCCCCGGGGGAGGGCCGGGCGGCTAAGGGGGACGAGGATTGGTTGTCCTCTTTTTCCGGGTAGCCAATGGGAGAAGCAGCTCTGGGAGGCGAGGGGGGCGTGGCTTCTCGGGGATTTGCTAAAGGAACTATTCCGTCCCAGGCGAGGTTGGCGTCATGGGTTCGAATCCTCACTTGGCCGCAGTCTCTTCGGCTGATTTCATTTTCACTTGGAAAGTTTCCTAAACCCCAAAGAGATTCTGTTTTGAAATTTTGAATTACGCTTATGAATTAATGCTTCATGGGGACATACGATTAAGGCCCGGGAGTCTTGAGTTTGGCTTCCAAACCAAGAGGACTTGGGTTCAAGGTCTAGCTTTGACACCCGCGGTGCCTAGAACACCGGATCTGGCGTCAGGGAGACCCGAGTTCAAATGCAGACTCAGACACTTGAGAGCTGGGCAGGTCACTTAACCTCTGCCTGCCTCAGTTTGCTCAACTAAAATGGGGTGATAATAATGGTTGTGTAGATCCATTAGTTTGAAATCAGTCAACAAACATCAAGTGCCTACTTTGTACCAGGCACTGTACCAATGGATAGAGATGCAAAGAAAGGCAAAAGATAACCCCTATCCTCCAGAAGATCCCTGTCTAATGAGGGAGAAGACTGAGGAGGACTAGGCTTGTGTGGATGAAGGAGGTCACATTATAACCCGCTTTGCCAAACCTAAAAGAGTGTGATCTGGGGGCCCGTCCCTTTGCATTGCTCTAAGGTGGCAGAGACCTGCACTGGTCAAGGGAGTTTCCTCATCCTGAAGTTCCAGAGATCCTTAGAAGGGAAGAAGTACTTACCATGCGCACCGTTCATCCAGCCCCCTCCTGGAGTCGCCCTGAAGATGCTTCCAGTGACTCTATACAATAGGACCCTGCATCCCAGCACTTCCAAAATCAGCCGTTTTGTCCACCTCTGCAAAAGTCCTTCAAGCATTAATCATAAAGGGACAAAGAGAGCAGTGGAGCAAGGCTTGCAGATACTGACCAGCCTCCCTTCTATACTGATCCCCCCACAGAGGGCCCCTCAGCTCTTCTATTCACTCTTATCATGCCAAGCTCTAAGGTAGATATTTGCTTATTGAGTTACAACCTCTTTCTCGTTATTAGTAGGTTTGAACTCCCACTCTAGTTTATTAATTTATTATTTTAAAAGAAACTTGAAAAGCCTTCTTTCGCAATAGTAATTTGTTTCTATATCAAATCCCTTGATCTTTTATTACTATGTAAATATTAAAATTAGTAAATGCATGATTTATTAACAAATGAAATCAATAAGAAAAACAAACCTATCGATAATTATTTTCATTGTTTTGGCTATGAGAATGGTCATATCCAAAGTTACCTCAAATTCTTACTATAAAAATAGAAAAAGTATATGACTTTTCTTTACTTCTAGAAATACAGTTTCATCATTCATTCCACTACATGTACTGATTAAAGTTTACAAAGAATTCTCTTGATATTTTCCTTCATGATAAGAATTAATCTCAACCCTCAGGAAATAAGTAGTTAGTCCTTTTTCTTTGTTTTCTCCTCTGGAAACCATCTTTCCAGAATACAAGGCAAACTTCCAGTTCCTCACAGACTGTTCATAAAATTCTATTTATGTTTCTTAATAACAACAGAGAAGACATTTCTCACAAGAATTTTTCCTTACCTTCTTTCTCTCTACCTTCTACATAGTTTTTCTCAAACTTATTCGTAGATCAAAGATTAAAAACACACATACACTCCCCAATTATATAGGGAGAAACAACTCATTGAAAGACCGTTAAATTGATAATTCTAAACTGCCAGTCCCAACTGCCTTTTCCATAATGTTCCATTTGGCTCTTAAAAATACAGTACAGTAATATCTGTGGGAAAGCTTAGTGCTACAGGTTTTATAGTGTATTAGTAATTTGTCCCTCATGCTTTCTATCTGAATTCCATTAAACAAAAAGTTAGCAGTAGGAGAAAGAAAATTATAATTATAATAATTATTATAGTAACACAGAGGCAGTGTGGCACAGTAGGTAGTGTGTTGGACGTGGAGTCAGGAAAACCATTTCTCAAGTCCTGCCTTAGATATCTATTGACTGTATGACTCAGGGCAAATCAAAGTTCCAAGGCATCTTTTCTAAGCCCATTTCTTTCAATTGTGCTATAACAATACCCTAAGTCAGTGATATCAGAAGTCTTAACCAAAGAAGAGGAATGATATATATATATATGTGTGTTTGTATATGCATATATATGTGTGCGTGTAGGCATGTATATATCTGTATATGCTGTGTATGATATATGCACTACATATGTATACAGTCTATGCATATGCCCACACCATAATACATATATGGATACATACAAATGTATATATGTACATATACATACATTTATGTAAGTATGATCTTTATTACTACTTCATACTTCAAGGATCAGTGATTTCCTTGGTTTGAATCCTCCCTTCTCTGATACAGTTTGAAGCCCTTCTACCACTTATTAGATGGTATTTGAGCTATGGCCAAAAATTCATCACTCCATTACCAACCTAGTGATAAGCCTCTCCCAAATTAACTAGACTGGTTCTTGGATGACAGACACACAGTCCATCACTTGACCCATGCTTCCAGCTTTGTAGGTAACCTGCCACAGATTGCACACTGCTGGTAGTGTTGAGGGAAAATTTAGGTGATGTAAAAACAAAAGATGTCAATTAAAGTTTATTTTTAAAATAATTTTTAGAAAGAACTAAGGGTGACTATAATGAGGCATGAAAAGGACTTGCATGGTAGATTTTCATCATCATTGGGATAGATCAAAGTAGTTCCCTGATCAACTTGATGAACTTATAGGGTTCTGACCCTTTGAGGCAGGACTCTAGATCATGTCTTCCTATGGAGAGTAGAACTCTTAGCTTCTCCTGGAGAATAGGATTTATTGATGGAAGCTGTCTCCAAGATAAATTGGTTGGCTCTGGCTTTTGCAAATGATGGGCTCTTCGAGGAGGAGCTATCCTTTTGTCCTCTCCTATAAAAAGGATCCTATAGACCCTTTTAATAATTTTTCTTTCTACATTTCTTTTTCTTTCCTTCTATATTTCTTAAGGAGAGATCCTGACAGCAGCATAAATGCTCTTATGGCAGTATCACTCCCTCCACCCCATGCACCATAAATAGTTGACTTGGGGAAGAAGCACAAGACAGGCTGCATTCACGTGGCCTGACTGAGAGTCCCCAAACCTCAGGGTTTAACCAGTTATTGTTGTCACTTCAGCCCCAGAGCTGACAGTCTCTTGCAGTTCAAAGAGACAGCGGCAGCTGGGGCCATGATAAAGTGCCTGGATTTCTGGGGAGAATCACATGGCAGAAACGGACATGTGTTCACCTGCATGGCCTGAGAGTCTTATACTTGTGTTTAAAAAACATCAACTTCACAATTACATGATGGAGGAGGAGTGACCAGATAGGAATTCAGGTGAAAAAAATCTGGGTTTTGGGAAACCACAAACTCAATATCGAATCAATGTTGAGTTCCTAGATATTCCCTTGGAAAAGCAGTGGGGGCAGCTTTCTAACCATGTCTCAACAATGAAGAGGTGAACCATTTGGCCAAGAGGTAAGAGTCCTTCAAGTTTCACTCTCTAAACCCCCCTCCCACCCACCCAATTCAAGAGTCCTGAAGTTTAGGCTTTCAGCCAGAAAAGGGTGGTGGGAGGCTATTTCCTAGGCACCAGAATCCCAGAATCTAGCGTTCTAATAGAAGATTTTTTGGGCAGTGCCTGCCAGACATGAAAGTTTCCTTCTCTGTAGCTTCAAAACTGAGAATTAGGGAAGCTCATCTTCTGTTGAGAGAATCAAATTAGCTTGCCTTTTGGAGAAGAGTATTGCAAATAGGGCTGCCTGTGTGGTGAGGTGAAACCATGAGGTACTACAACCATGATACAGAAGAACAAGAAACGTGTACCTTACTTTTTCCTATTATTGTGAATTATTTGGATGGTGCAGGTCAGAAGAGTAGGCAGTTGCCTGTCTAGAAACTCTCGAGTGGATTTCCTTTCCAGGGGAGTCCAAGCCTGCACAATAATATCATAAGGCAGTCTGCCTAGTCATCATGAGATCATAGGACTGTACATTTAGAGCTATAATGGATGGTGGAGGCCATCAAGTTCAACCTCTTTCATTTTATAGGTGAGGAAACTGAGGCACAAAGTGGTTAAATGATTTGCCCAGGATCACACAGCACTAAGTGTCCAAGGCAGGATTAGAATTGGGGTCTTCCTGTTTCCAAGTTCAATGATCCCACACTGTCTCTAAAAAAAAGTGAGACACTTGCCATAATGTTGGGATATTTCTTTCTAGCAGCCCCAAGTTTATTTCCCATTCAAGAGGAGTCCCATCCGTAGAGTCATAACGAATTTAGAGAACTTCAGGACCTAGGTAAAAACTAGTACTCACCTGAGGAGGAAAGAGAATTATACAGATTATTTATGGGGTCTTTTGAATCCTTATGAGATTTGTGCATTTGTTTGTAACAGTGCATCTGTCCCTACTGCCTGAAGGCCAATAGTGCTACATTTCATCTCTCCCCCAAGATTCTCCAGTATTCTTAAGGGGATTGGGAATGTCTCTCATCTCTGCCATTGGCTCAGTGTCCCATAGACTGTTCCCTCTAATTTTAGGAGTCTACCAGCACCCTAGTTCCATTTAACCACTTAACAGCTAGATTAACTTTTACAAAGGAATATTTACTTTAAAGGAATAGCATGAACAGAAATACAAACAGTTTCTTAAGCTGATGAACAAATCATTCCTTTGCTTGTAGGACGTGGCATCTCAGCTATGCCATGAATTCACAACTAGGCTGAGGTAAATAGGTTTCTCCTCAGGGCTGACTTTTTATCAGGGTTGACTGCTGAGGTTAGTGGACAACTGCTGTGGATTCTACATGCTATACCTCTGTTGGCTC